CCAGTGCAACAAATGATCTGTGTGCCAGTTTGGACTGGAAACATATTCTGGGCACATGTGACACGAACACTAATATGTCTTAAAGTGGGCGGATATCAGAGCTTTAAAAGACACTGAACAACACTTTCATCACCAACATTTTCTTTGGTTTGGTCACTTTGATGATTTCCTGCTTACCAGCTTCTTGTAGGCCAACGTCAGGGTGCTGCTCTCCATCATCTAACACCTCCACCTCACTCTGCTCTCTCACTCCTCCATCCTCTTGGGACCCTCTGCTGTATTTCACCCTGAAATCTTCAACACTTTGAATTTCTGTAGACATTTTGAGCTGAAAGATATTTGAGCAGCTTCACCGTCTGTCTGTGTCTTTAAGTCCGACAGTTTTGAAATGAAAATATTGAGGAAGTAAAACCAGACGAGAGTCACTTTTCATCTGACACGTCATGATACGTGTAAGAGTCAGTTATGAAGCACTGCAAACAACATCCTGCAAGATCTCCAGTTCCATTATATAAATTAAAAATGCTGAAATTCCATTAATACAGTAATTAAATCATTAAAAATGATAAATGACAGAAACTTGCAGTAGCTTAAATACATTTGTGGATTTCAGTGGGATCGGGAAACCATTTAGTGCTCATTAAAATACCTCCAACAACTTGTTTTTAATATTTGCTGCTTATCATATCACAAACATACAGGTTTAACACAGCAGCTGCAGTATGTTTATAATAACACGGCTTTGTTAGACGCTGCCTTCTACAAACTGTAAGTACATCGAAGCAGCAGAGAGAAGAAGTGTTTGTGACACAGGAAACATGTCAGAGTGAACTATTTATTCATCTTTATTTTTACCAGCACAGAAACTAACAGGGCAGCGTGGTGCTGCAGTGGTGAGCACCATCACTTCTTAGACAGAGAGTTCCTGTTTTGGGTGGTTTTGAGTAGAGTCTGCTAGTGTGGGTTTCCTGCTTCCTGCTGTCCAGGTTCCTTGTAATCTGGCTGTACATGTAAACTAAAACACAGAGAATAAATCAAGCCGGCGTAAAGCCTTTCTTTAAACTGCCTGCTGAAACAGTGAAACATGCTGCCCACACATAGTCACAGAGTTTTTTTTGACTGTGCAACTATGTCTCCTCTCTTTCTAAACTTTAGTCCCCTTCTCATATATCTCATAGAATAGCAGATTTACAGGACAGCTCCAAGTACCTATCCCACAGGCCAACAGGAGCCCTAAAAAGATGTTCAAAGGTCAGCCACAGCCAAAAACCACCATAAAGTACGAGGTGATAAGCCATCTGAAATGAAGGAATATGATCTTGAATAGATTCAGCTTCATGAAGCATTTTGTGAAAGCTGTTTAGAGCAGGGCTCATTACCTTTAATACCTTTAATACATGTAATCTTTGACACCCACTTTAACTGGCCACGTAAGTGTTTTCCAACACATCCACACAAACACAGAGACACACTAAAGTGTGACTTTATTTATCATCTTTTTTAAAATGACTCTGCACAACAAACTGCTTGCAGTGTTTATAAAATATGTGTTCAAATATGGAAAAAGATAGAAGTCATACATGCATTATATGTTTTATGCAGTTCAAACAAGGAAAACACTAATTGGCACATCATTTTCATGATGTTATTTTATTAATGAAATAAAAAGCAGTTTTTCTGTGATCACATGCTGAGAAAGCCCTTCTTTGCTCAAAACAACAATACGTCTTCTAAACCTTTCTTTTAAGTTCAGCTGGCATGTGTTTCCCGAACACAGTGTTGCTTAGTCAACAATGTTTTCCCTGATATTTAATGAACGATCATAATATTAATGGTGAGCTGTGTTCATTGAATGAGGCACCAGAGTTGGTCCTGCAGACTTTTGACATTTCAGTTCACACAACTGTGTTATAAACAGTGGCCATTTCTGAATGTGTGTTTAACAGAACACCTGGTTTCAGTTAGCTTCATGTTTAAGCATATCTGAAAAATCTCTGCCCACAAACAACCTCACAGGAGTAACACAAAAAGAGAATTATGATTTATTACATCTGCAAGAGAACTGAAAGAGAACTATGAATCATGAAACTCTTAAAGACTGTAATCAGATTGGCCATGTAGCACAGTGGAACAGTGGTTAGCATGTTTGCTTCACAGCAAGAAGGAGTTCAGTTCCACCATCACAAGTCTTTCTGTGTGGAGTTTGCATGTTCTCCCTGTATTAGTGGGGGTTCTCTCTGGGTACTCTGGTTTAGTCCCACAGTCCAAAGACATGCAGTTAATGGGGTTAGATTAATTGGTGATTCGAAATTTCCCACCAGTGTGAATGTGAGTGCAAATGGTTATCTATCTCAATGTAATAACTAACTCTACCTTTCTCAGCCTGCTTAAGCTCCAGCTGAAGGATTTTTTAGATATCAGTGCTAATGAAGATATCGACCCACTCTTATGGGAGGCTACAAAATGTTTCATTCGTGGCTTTTCCATCTCATTCTCCTCCATGCTGGCAAAAACAAACTTGCTCAGGTGTCCAATTTAGAAAATCAGATAGAATCTTTACAGAATCTGCAAAAACTTATCCAGTCGGACGATCAGTCTACACTCCTAGCTTCACTGAAGGAAGAATATGATGCAATAACCTTGTCCAAATCAGAGTTCTTCTTGCATAGAACTAGACAGAAGTACTATTTTGAATCAGAGCGTCCTAGTCGTTTGTTGGCACTTATGCTTAAAGAATGTGAAACAAGGACACATATTCCAGCTATAACTAGGGATGGGTATCTTGCCTTGCCTAATGTCCCTGCCTACAATTAAACACATTCACTTAATGAAAATCGGGGGCATCTGCTGTGGCAAATAGGTGCAAGCCTTTGACCACAAACTGAGTCACTGCTCAGTGACATTCATCTATTCTGGACTAAAAGGAGACGCTACCAGTAGACTGCAGTGAGAACTGCCAGCATCTGAGCCAGACTCTGTCTGTCTCATCATGGTCACTAAATGCACAGTAATGGCAGGTTTTGTAATAAGGCAGATCGCGCTAACATAATATGCACTGTTAGTTGATTATTTACCTGCCGCATTAACGGGAGAGGACGTGCAAACGTTACCGCTGCTGCTGGGTTGAGATTCACGAGTCACGAGTGGAATTAAAAACATGACATTCATTTAAGGTCATCGCGTGTTTTATGAGCAAATGCTTTTGCATATTCGTAGTGTTTCCTCCCTTAAATGAAACATCTACTTTGCAAGTACTGCAAGTTGCCCTGTTGTCATCTGTTCTCGTAAAGTATAACCAAACTTTTGAGCGTTTGTGCCGCATAGGCGCCATGTTTCCTGCCAGGTAAATGACGCTCCGCAGCGTGGTGATGTCTTTTGAGGCGACTGGAATCGATAAGGGAATCGTTTGCAAAAATGGCAAACAATTCCAATTAATTGAAACAGTGGGAACCAGTTCTCAATTCGATTCCCATCCCTAAGTATAAGTCATCATGTTTGTAAATCAGATATTGGCTCTGTAAATGTAACGTTCATATTATCAAACATGCTGCAAATCTCACTGTGGTGGACTGTGTTATTTAAAGTCTGCATGGAAATCCTCTTCAAGTTAGTGCAAGATAAACAGGTTAGTTTGATGCTTTGTGATTTAAAGTAAGGAACAGTGTGTGACTGGAACACAGTTGTTGTGGTTTCATGGTCAAGTTAAGTTACATCAAGTGTAGCAGAAGTTCATATGAATTTTAGCCGATGATGCTGAGATTCATGCATGTACCAGCCCACAACCCTGGCGACACATCAGCGAAGACACACGCCCCTCAGGCAAAGCCAGACCCAAAAAAGCCAGAGACAGAGTGCCCCATAAGGCCAAGTCCCCAACCCACCCCAGATCGAGCCAGGAGTGTACCACGTCAGTAACCTATGTCCCCCCTCAAAAACAATTCAATTCAGTTCAATTTGGTTTTATTCATAGAGAATCACATCACAACAACAGCTCATGGCATTTTACATTTTAGGATAAAGACTCTACAATAATACAAAGAAAACACAGAAAACCCCAACAATGAAATGACCCACTGTAAGCAAGCAATTTGTTGAGAGTGGGAAGGAAAAATCCCGTTTAACAGGAAGAAAACAGAACCAGGCTCAGGGAGGGGCGGAGCCATCTGCTGTGACTGGTTGGGGTGAGTGGAAGAAGACAGGATAAAGACATGCTGTGGAAGAGAGACAGAGATTAATAACCGGTACGATTCAATGCAGAGAGGTCTGTTAATACATAGTGAGTGAGAAAGGTGACTGAAGAAGAAACACCCAGTGCATCATGGGAATCCCTCAGCAGCCCACACCTATTGCAGCATAACTAAGGGAGGATTCAGGGTCACCTGGTCCAGCCCTAACTATATGCTTTAGCAAAAAGGAAAGTTTGAAGCCTAATCTTAAAGTAGAGATAGTGTCTGTCTCTAATCTTTATGAGAGAGCTTTGCAGATTACATTAAGGTCAACATTAAAAAGAGATACTGGACGGTAGCTGGTAGGAAACACAGTACTTGCCTGGTTTTAGCCAGAGACTAATGTTGAAAGAATACATATTTGGTGGTAGTCTGCCATTTCCTTATTTTCCTGCAACATTCCATATAATGTTGGTAACAGAATTATGCAGAAGTCTTTATAGAATTCTGCTTTAATCTAATTCTCTACCAGAAAATGTTTGTGCCTACTAGATTATCTTTCTCATCGTAGCAGTTTTCATTTAAGTGCTTCTTAGTATATGAACACAAACATAAACTTATTAAATCAGATCTATTTTGTTATCATTAAAATGATTCTGCACACCACCAAGCACCAGCTGCTAAACACAGTACAGCACCTTTTTAACGAGATTCTGGTGAGCTGGAACCACTCTGCGTGTCCTATTGTGATGGGCACCACTAGTATGCCTGTCAGTGGTTTTAATGTTATGGCAGATTAGTGTGCAGTGCAAAATCCCATTCACATTTGAGATGGAAGGATAAGCCATACTTGCATTTTGTCATTGGATCCCACACTGCTGAACTTCCTCAGTTGTTTCCCCATGAAGTATTCTCTACACAGAGACAAAAACATGGAAGAGTTGCCATACTTTGTAAATGTATATTTTATGCAGTGAAAAAAAAATAGAAATTAGTTAAATAAGTTATTTCTTTAATAAAGTGAAGAGCAAGAATGCAAAAAGTACACATGTTTAGAGTTTGACTTTGTTTCCTGGGAATTGGAGCTAGCAATTAAAGAAAGATCTTTCTTTATTCTATTTATAAAGCACTGTACATCCAACAATGTTGGCCAAAGTGCTACAAATATGAAACAAAGAGAAAACAGTTTAAATTACATATAGAATACCTTAAAATTAAAAAAATATATAATTAATAACGAACAGATTAAGAGACATCAAAAAATCCTGCTGTGCTGAAAGCCGGGGTAAATAAATATGTTCTAAGACATGATTTAAAAAGCGATAAGGAAGGTGCCCGTCTAACATGTAAATGCAACTCATTCCACAATTTTAGTGCTGACACCACAAACACACAATCCCCTCTGAACTTACGATTACAGGCACACTCAGGAGGAGCTGGTCTGCCGACCTGAGGGACCTGGACGGTATGTATGGATGAAGAAGCTTAGAGAGGTACAGAGCGGCAGCATTGGACAAAGATTTAAAAAAATAAAAAGCAGCTTAAAATGGATCCTAACATACACGGGCAGCCAATGAAGTGAACATAAAACTGGGGTCATATACTCGCATCTACGAGTGGCAGTTAAAAGACGTGCAGCAGCATTCTGGACTAGCTGCAGAAAAGCAGAAGATCGACTCACCCCATAATAAAGAGAATTACAGTAATCCAGCCGAATGGTTACAAAGGCATGGATTACTGTTTCAAATTGCTGTGGCGCAAGAACGTGCTTAATTTTGGCCAGCTGCCTCAGATGAAAGAAACTAGACCTTACAGCCGACCTAATCTGGCCTTCAAGCTTAAGTTCAGGATCCATTTTAAAACCTAGATTTACAATCTCTGGTTTACAAAATGATTTCAGGATTTGCAAATCAACACACAGAACACCAATGGAGGCAGGTCTAAGCATCATTACTTCAGTTTTAGAATCATTAAAGCAAAGAAAGTTTAGGGCCAACCACGACTTGACGTCCTCCAGACATGTTTGCAAGCGATTTACAGACGACCCATTTTTCTTTTTAAGAGGAACATAAATCTGACAGTCATCTGCATAACAGTGAAAAGAGAGTCTGTGTTTTCTAAAAATTGAGCCCAAGGGAAGTAAACAAAGCGAAAACAGGATAGAGCCCAGAATGGAACCCTGTGGTACTCCATGAGACAGCGGAGCACGGGAGGACTCAGTTTCCTAAGCGAACTGAAAAGGTTCGATCTGTTAAATAAGACCATTTCAGAGCCACACCTGTTATACGGACACACACACAGATTAAAATTTCATCGTCTACAGTGTCAAATTCAGCAGTTAAATCGAGTAAAATAAGAATGACACTTTCACCAGAATCAAATTAAAATATATCATTAAAAATTCTTAAAAGTGACGATTCAGTGCTATGCATTGCTTTAAAACCAGATAGGAAAATCTCCTGAATATTTTGTGCATTCAAGTATGGTTATATATCAATTGGTTATATACTATTTTTTCCAAGAATTTAGATAAAAAGGGCAGCTTAGATATTGGTCTGAAGTTTTCAGCGTTTGTATCTAGCCCAGGTTTCTTAAGAAGAAATTGTATCTTTGAAATTCTTTGGAACCACACCTGAGGTAAGGCTGCTATTTAAAATGGTTACAATAGTTGAACATATGGTAGAAAGAACGTTTTTCAGAAAACGGGGAGGGATAGCATCGTGAGGTGAGCCTACGGGCTTTAGATGATCCACCACCTCCTGTAGCTGAGCAACAATAACCGACTCAAACTGTTGAAAGACAAATTGGTCAGATGTGGGCAAAATAATCCGTACCCTAGCCAAAACTAAGTTGTTCATAAAGAAGTGAAGGCTCAAAACTGAGAGAAGAAGGAGGGCATAAAATAGTCTCAATTGAGTTAAACATTGTATGTGGTTTCTGATAATTTACCAAAAATAATGTTAGCAAAGTCTTTCCACTTTGTTTCTTTTACTGTGTACTGATATAAGGCCCAGCGCTCGCTTAAATTTTGTAGAGACCTGTAAGTTATCTTTTTTCCATCTCCGCTCAGCCCTACGACATTCACGCCTCGCAGCACAGGTTTCATTGTTCAACCAGGGTCCAAACTTGGTCTTAGGATGCCTGATTTTCAGAGGGGCAACAATATCCAAGGCAGTCTGACAAGTGGTATGAAACCAAGAACTGAGTTCCTCTACGTTTTGGAGTGTCTCGGGAATGGAGAACTGATTATAGAAGATGGAGAGAAATTTAATTTAACTTAAATTCCAGTTAATAACTGGAAAAATAAAATTCCAATGAAACCTGTTTACACCTGTAGCGATTTCTGAAGATGGTAGCTACTCCTCCACCTCGACCAGATCTGCGTGGGACATTAAAATAGCAGCAGTCTGAAGGCTAAAGTTCTGCAAAGGCGCTGGAATCACCAGCAGTTGTCCACGTCTCAGTTAGGCAGAGAAAGTCCAAGTAGTGTGACAAAAAATATTCCTTAAGGATGAAAGTCTTACCAGGCCAAATTTGGCCGGAGTTGAACAGTAACCAGACTTCTGCTCATTAAACGTACGGCAGGTTTTGCAGATTCGCTCTGCACTGCCGTGGACAGGGATAATGGGAGGGGGTGTGGGAACATCTCAGAGCCAGCAAGAGGCACCAGATATGCATAGGATGGCTTATGAAGATGCCAGGGAAAAGGGGGGCGGCAGTCAACGCTAGGAGCACCGGAAGAAATAGCAGAACCAAACGCTCAACAGGCCTTCAGCTTCACCAATCTCCCACTCTGTTTGCCGCGACGGTGACCTTGCTTCCGGGGAGATGGCACAGGTACATGGAGCAGGTGAGTAGGAACCAACGACAGGAGTGGAGGCAGTATTTTGTGTTTCCCAGTCTACACACCAGAGTATTGGGAGATAGCCGAAGTTTAAGTAAAACTTAGCGATCATAGACCAGCAGGGTGTCGACGTCACAGCAGAATAATACCATTAAAACAGATTTGGAGGAACAGACAGCAAGCCATACACATTGGCACCATCTTAACCCCCCTAGACATCCATCCATCCATTCGCTTCCGCTTGTCCTTTTCAGGGTCGCGGGGGGCGCTGGAGCCTATCCCAGCTGTCATAGGGCGCGAGGCGGGGTACACCCTGGACAGGTCGCCAGTCTGTCGCAGGGCCAACACACAGGGACAGACAAACATTCGCACTCACATTCACACCTAGTGGCAATTTGGATTTTTCCAATTAACCTATCCCCACAAGCTGCATGTCTTTGGACAGTGGGAGGAAGCCGGAGTACCCGGAGGGAACCCACGCAAACACGGGGAGAACATGCAAACTCCACACAGAAAGACCCCGGCCTGATGTTGGAATTGAACTCAGGACCTTCTTGCTGTGCGGCAACAGTGCTAACCACCGTGTTGCATAAATGGTCATTTAAGCATATTTAAGCATATCTGAAATTCTGTTCTAAGTTTTGTTCCTTTGATTAACCAGTTGCTGCTTGTGCTAACCTGCTTCCTTGGTAGTTAAAGATTCTGTATCTGGTTGAAAGCACAGATGCGGTAACACTCAACAAATGACGCATTTAAAAAGCAATATTTGGTCACATTTCAATTGAGAAGTGTAAACACACCTACCTGTTTTTCTCTACTATTTACGACAATTAGACTTCCTCCTCTTCTCTGGCAGTATGATTCATTCTCCTGCGAACTTCTCCTGTCATTTAATTCATAGTAACATTTGGATCCTGCCCTCAGCCATCCTACAGGACAGCTATATCCTGAAAGGGTTGTATATCATTTAGTTTCACGATGAAAATAAATTTTACTGCAGTCTTGTGTAACTTAGAAGGGTTCAATTAAAAATGTCTTCAGAGCCAAAGATACAAAAAAGACAGAATGAGAGAAAATCTTTCTCAGCTGTACTTTGATCCTTCGTTATCAAAAAATTACAACTACAGTTAAAAATTGATTACTTTAACTGATTATTCAAATAAAACTTTCAGTCTCTGATCCTCTTTTGTTTTACTTTGTTTTGTCATTTTCTTGAAATTTACACAAGAAATAGAAGCTGTGTTTTTGTTATCTGTTGGGGACTGAACATTTTTTAAAATGCATCGGATACCAAAGAAACTACAGGTTAACAACAAGTAAATATACTTAAATTACATAAATCAAAACCTCTTTCAGTCTTCATCAAAGAAATTAAACATCCATTTTAAACTGTTTATTGTTAAGTGATTTTTTTAAACAAATAGATACATGAGTTTCCAAACCTTTCTTTGTTGTACTTTGTGTTGTCATCTTTTTTGGAGTTGCTGAAAAAAAGAATAGAAACTCTAAATGGGTTATTGGTTATTTGACATATATTAAAAATCATTAAATCATCATTTAATTTAAATCATTAAATATCAAATAAAACACAGGTAAACATCAAATAAATATTCTTAAATTGTGTAAATAATTATATTATAAAAATTTTAACTGTAGTTAAACATTTCAGTTTTAAAATTGATAATGACACAAAGTAACTTCAAAAACTTCATTAAAGAAAAGTCTTGTCTTGAGATTTAACATTTACCAAATTGAAATTAATTGAAGTTAATTGCTCTCTCTCTGTCACACACACACACACACACACCACAAGTGTCACTGATTTATATAACTGACCATTTTTGAATTTGTATTTCTTACAAGTGTGGCATTTGGCAAAGCATTGTGCCTTTCTATTTGTACTATTTGCCCTTAAACCTTCCTCTATACCCCCTTTTTTACTGCCTTGTCATACTATCGAACATATAATGTAATAAGCGAAATAACATGAATAGAAATTTATAAATAAACAGATAAAAGAAACACCTGAACAAGAAGAGTCTATAGAGAACATGTTTAGCACAACAGTGCATTCAACTCATAATTCTAATTGCAAAAGCTGCCAGACAGGACTGGATTTAAAAAATAAATAAAAATAAAACTAGTTTTAAACATTTGATTCTTAAACCTGACTGTCTAAATGAATAAATAAATGTATTTCCAAACCTTTCTCTGTTACACTTTTTGTTGTCATCGTCATTACATTTGCTGGAAAAAGAATGGAAATTGTACTTTGGTTGTCTGCTGGTGATATAACATTTGTTAAAATTAAAACCAAAGAAAATGCAGATAAACGTCAAATAAATATCCCTAAATTGTTAGGTGTGGCTGTGTGCAGACAGGAATAGGACCCAAGATGCAGACTCCGGAGACAGAACTTAAACCAAAACAGCTTTAATGCTGAACGCAAACATAACATAACTGGAAATAAGTCAAAATAAACTAACACCGGTGGACTAGCAAAACACACAGCAAAATAAACGGTAGATCGCAACACAGACACAGAGAAACACAGGGCTTAAATACACAGAGGGAGCAATCAGGGAATGAGTAACAGGAGGGAAACACAGCTGGGGCAAATCAGAACTGACGAGACCAAAGAAGCGTAAACTGAACACACTGAGAAAAGACAGAGACCTTCAAAGTAAAACAGGAAACACATAACACAGACTCACATGCAGGCACTACAGAGGGAACAGAGACGTGGGACCAGGGCAGACACAAACACTGAGTGAACACGGGGATATAGGAACTAAGGATACATAGAGACGCAAACTAGACAAGGGGATACAGGTGATAGGGGAGACAGGGCTGGCTTCCAGACAGCCCAAACCAAAACACCAAAACAAAAAAAAAAAAAACAACCCAACCAGAGTGGGCGGCAGGGGAAACAGGATGGAGGGCTGGAAACAAACCAAACAAGGAGCCAGAAACAAAAAAAAAAAAAGAACAAACAACGGAGCCCGGAAAGCAACAGAACAAAACACAGGAACAAAGTCCAAAACAGCAGCACCAAGGCCCAGGCATAGTCTAAAAGCAAACAAACAAAAGGGCTCACGAAAGGCGCATAGGCCCAGGCAACAGTGTCGAAAAAGTTCAGGGGGCCGGCCCGGAGGCTGACGGCACAACAGTCCAAACCCGGACAGGACGTGCAGGACGAGCAGGCCGGACCGGACGTGCAGGACGAGCAGGCCGGACAAGACATGCAGGAACAGACAGCATGGAGACCTCAGGAGCAGACGAAGCTGAACACTCGGAAGCTGGACCAGGCGGAGCTGCAGAGGCTGAGGCTGAGGCCGGACCAGGCGGAGCTGCAGAAGCAGGAACAGAGGCTGAAGCTGGACCAAGCGAAGCAGAAGCCGAGGCTGAAGCTGGACCAGGCGAAGCAGAAGCAGAAGCCGAAGCCGAAACTGGACCAGGCGAAGCAGAAGCCGAGGCAGAGGCTGGACCAGGCGTAGCAGAGGCAGAGGCTGATGGTGGCTGGACGGGCTCCTCGGGCCCTCCAGCTGACGTGGCAGAAGGCTGGACGGGCTCCTCGGGCCCTCCAGCTGACGTGGCAGAAGGCTGGACGGGCTCCTCGGGCCCTCCAGCTGACGAGGCGTGAGGCTGAACTGGCCCCTCGGATCCTCCAGCAGGAAGAGACGGCTGAAGCTGTTCCTCGGACCCTCCAGCGGAGACAGGAGGCTGAACGGGCCCCTCGGACCCTCCAGCGGAGACAGGAGGCTGAACGGGCCCCCCCTTGGACCCTCCAGCGGAGACAGGAGCTGAACGGGCCCCCCCTCGGACCCTCCAGCGGAGACAGGAGGCTGAACGGGCCCCCCCTTGGACCCTCCAGTGGAGACAGGAGGTTGAACGGGCCCCTCGGACTCTCCAGCGGAGACAAGTTGCTGGACGGCATCCCGGACCCTCCAGCGGAGGCAGGTTGCTCGACGGATGACCGAGGAGAGGAGTGACGGTGGCGTCGCTTCCTTCTAGATGAGGGAACAGGAACCGGTGGAGAAATGGAGACCTCCTCCTCATCCTCCGACCACATAAGTGCGCATGCGCCAACCAGCGTGCAGCCTGTTACAGTCGCTCCTGCTTTTCTCTTAGTTTAGCTCTTTTTTCTTACGTATTCTTTTTTTTCTGACTTGTATTTTCCTCCGTTTTCTATCTCTTACTCAATCATGTGGATTGAGAGAGTTTTTGTTCTTCTGGTGGCCGTGGAACTGTTACTTTTATCATGGAACGGGACCGCGGCACATCTCCTACACGCACGGACTGTTTACTCCAGAGATCAGCTGATCGCCCTGATGCCGGCCGGCTCGCTGGCCAGGCCCGCAGAAGTGCCCGCAGAAGTACCAGCTGAAATTTGGAGGAAAACACATCGGGGATGCAGAGGTCAAGGACAGAAGAGAAGAAAAAAGGTGACGGTGAGACAGCGGAGGCTCGAAGCGAGGAGGAGGTTTAAACCGTGTCTGCCGTCTATTGTGATGGGAAATGTGCGATCGTTGGCAAGTAAAATCGACGAGCTCTCAGCACTGGTACGGAGTCAGAGGGAATACCGAGAGTGTAGCCTGATGTGTTTCACCGAATCATGGCTGCACCAGGTCATTCCCGATGAGAATGCTTCCGTGGAAGGCTTCCACACTGTTCGGGCGGACAGGGACAGCATCGCTAGCGGTAAGCGTAAAGGAGGTGGGCTTGCTGTTTTAGTGGTGGTGTAACCCTGCCAACATAACAATCAAAGAAAGGATTTGTTGCCCGGACACTGAACTGTGTGCTGTTGGACTCAGGCCGTATTATTTACCCAGGGAATTCTCTCACGTCATCTTGGTGGCTGTTTATGTTCCCCCCTCTGCTAACCCCACAGCTGCATGTGACACTATCCACTCTGCCATAGCTCGGCTACAGACTCAGCACCCGAGTGCCTTTATTGTGATCTCGGGTGACTTCAACCATGTATCACTGGACAATACACTACCAACATTCAAACAATATGTGGACTGTCCCACCAGGGGAGAGAAAACTTTAGACTTACTGTATGCTAACGTCAAGGATGCATACAGCTCCTCCTCCCTCCCCCCACTTGGTAGGTCAGATCATAACCTGATTCACCGAGCCCCCCGCTATGTGCCAATTGTGAGGAGGGAACCTGTGACCACCAGGACTGTTAGGAGGTGGTCAGAGGAGGCAATAGCGGAACTACAGGGCTGTTTCGAGGTGACCGACTGGGAAACACTCTGTGAGCCTCACGCCGAGGACATCAATGGGCTTACTGAGTGTATCACAGACTACATAACTTTCTGCACCGACTCCATTGTTCCAGCTCAGACTGTTCATTGTTACCCAAATAACAAGCCGTGGGTGACTAAGGACATCAAAGCCCTCCTCAACAACAAGAAGAGGGCTTTCAGAGGGGGCAACAAAGAGGAGGTGAGGAAGGTCCAGGTGTTACTAAAGGACAAGATCAGAGAGGCTAAGGACAATTACAGGAGGAAGCTGGAGTGGAAACTCCAGCAGAACAGCATGAGAGAGGTGTGGAGGGGCATGAAGACCATCACTGGATTCAGGCCAACCAACAGCAGGGGAGCTGAGGGAGGTGAGAATAGAGCCGACGAGTTGAATCTGTTTTTCAATAGATTCGACACCACAGTGTCTGCTCCCACCCCCACAACCTCACCTGCAGTCAGCCTGGAATCCAGAGCCACACCACTGTGCCAGCCTCTCTCTTCACATGTTGCCTCCTGTGAGATTCCTGACACCCCTCCCCCACCCATCACCTTCACTCAATACCAGGTTGAGATGCAAATGAGGAGACTTCACTCAGGCAAGTCTGCTGGACCAGACGGAGTGAGTCCCCTTGTCCTCAAGGCCTGTGCCCCCCAGCTGTGTGGAGTCTTTCATAAACTGTTTATGCTGAGTCTGAGTCTGCAGAGGGTCCCGGTGATGTGGAAGACATCATGCCTCGTCCCTGTACCAAAGACGCCTCGTCCCAGTGGCCCCCAGGATTACAGGCCCGTGGCACTGACCTCCCACATCATGAAGACCCTGGAAAGGCTCATCCTGGACCAGCTGCGACCCATAGTAAGACCACATCTGGATCCCCTTCAGTTCGCTTATCAGCCTCGTCTCGGAACAGAGGACGCCATCATCTACCTGCTCAATCGTGTCTACACCCATCTGGACCAGCCGGCGAGCACTGTGAGGGTCATGTTTTTTGACTTTTCCAGTGCTTTCAACACCATCAGGCCGACCCTCCTGGGTGATAAGTTAGCAGCGATGCAGGTGGATGCTTCTCTGGTGTCCTGGATTGTTGATTACCTGACAGGAAGACCACAATATGTACGTCTCCCACAGTGTGTGTCTGACAAGGTGATTAGCAACACAGGGGCACCACAGGGGACTGTCCTCTCCCCCTTCCTCTTCACCCTCTACACCACAGACTTCAGCCACTGCACAGAGACCTGCCATCTTCAGAAGTTTTCTGATGACTCTGCGGTGGTTGGATGCATCAGCAGGGATGATGAGACAGAGTACCGGGCTGTGGTCGACTCCTTTGTCACGTGGTGTGAGCAGAATCATCTGCAGCTCAACGTGGCAAAGACCAAGGAACTGATCGTGGACTTCAGGAAGACCAGGAAACACTTGACCCCTGTTTCAATCCAGGGGGTCAGTGTTGACATTGTGGAGGACTATAAATACCTTGGAGTACACATTGACAATAAACTGGACTGGGCTAAAAACACCACAGCACTTTACAGGAAGGGCCAGAGTCGTCTCTATTTTTTGAGGCGACTGAGGTCCTTCAACATCTGCCAGAAAATGCTGAGGATTTTCTATGAGTCTGTGGTGGCCAGTGCGATCCTCTATGCTGTTGCATGCTGGGGGAGCAGGCTGAGGGTCGCAGATGCCAACAGACTTAATAAACTGATCCGTAAGGCCAGCAATGTTGTGGGGATGGAGCTGGACTCCCTCAAGGTGGTGTCGGAGAGGCGGATGCTGTCCAAGATAAAGACAATGTTGGATAACACCTCCCACCCACTCCATGACATGTTGGTCAGTCACAGGAGCTCGTTCAGTGAGAGACTGAGATTACCGAAAAGCACCACTGAACGACACAGGAAATCATTCCTGCCTGTGGCCATCTCCCTGTACAACGCATCCACTTAACACACTGTTTGCTGCTACAACTACACATGTTTCTTTTCCAAATATTTATTTATAAGTGACTTATGTATGTATGTATGTATATATATGTATATATTGTACTATTCTTAGTTAGCGTATTGTCTGTCTTGTCTTAATGTTGGTTTAAAATGGAGCACTGTAACAAAAAATAATTTCCCCCAGGGATCAATAAAGTATTCTGATTCTGATTCTGATTCTGATTCTGATAGCCGCGAGGAAAAAGGCAGGCGAATGGACAGGCGAACAAGGTCCCGGCTGGTGTGAGGAAGGAGAGGCAGTCTGTGGTAGTGATGAGGCAGGTGGTGAGTGTGTGTCGTCCTGGGGCGGTGGTAAAGAAGTGGAGGTGGAGATAGAGAGAGCAAGCTCGCCAGCCCTGACTTGCTCCCTCCAGGCAGCTATGGAGCTGCCCAGCACAGTGTCCGTAGAAAGTTGAGTAAGCCGAGGGTTGCTCCGAATGATGGCATCTACAGCGCTTAGCCCAACTGCCATGGTCCTCAAATCGTTGGCCTGAGCAATGCGGTCAAGGAGCTTAATCAACCGCTCCATCTCAGCGTCGAATCCAAAAGCGGAAGAGTCTGCGGGGTCCATAGTATGGTCGCGATCTTCTGTTAGGTGTGGCTGTGTGCAGACAGGAATAGGACCCAAGATGCAGACTCCGGAGACAGAACTTAAACCAAAACAGCTTTAATGCTGAACGCAAACATAACACAACTGGAAAAAACTCAAAATAAACTAACACCGGTGGACTGGCAAAACACACAGCAAAATAAACGGTAGATCGCGACACGGACACAAAGAAACACAGGGCTTAAATACACAGAGGGAGCAATCAGGGAATGAGTAACAGGAGGGAAACACAGCTGGGACAAATCAGAACTGACGAGACCAAAGAAGCGTAAACTGAACACACTGAGAAAAGACAGAGACCTTCAAAGTAAAACAGGAAACACATAACAGACTCACATGCAGGCACTACAGAGGGAACAGAGACGTGGGACCAGGGCAGACACAAACACTGACTGAACACGGGGATATAGGAACTAAGGATACACATAGACGCGAACTAGACAAGGGGATACAGGTGATAGGGGAGACAGAGCAACTAAAGAAGACAGAGACATAAACCATAAGACAGAACTCAAAGAAACCAAAAACTAGAAAGTATAAATAATATAATAAACTCAAAAACCCTGGAGTATGCTAAAGTATATAACATGATATGTTCTCTTACATCTAGGTGGCGCTCTAACGATTGACAAATATTGATGTTTAATGACAAAATATTTAATATAACAAAACCTGTGGGTAGCACAGTTTGAAGTAAACAAAACATAGTATTTCTATTGTTGTATAATAAACTTGACAGCATAGACACAGATTAAAAAAAATGTAACCTCAGTGATGCCACCTTCTCAAATTTACCTTGACAGATGACACCGGCGTCTTCACTGTGGCTGCAGTCATGAGATCCTAACCCTGACTGTCGACACTCAAACAGGTTGGATTCCCTGCCTGTGCATCCAACCTCATTCATCCAGACGCGCCCTGAGCCTTGTCCAAATCGTGCTTTAGTTGGTGCAGAGAGGACCCTACCACAGCCCAGCTGCCTACATACCACCTGAGCATCCTGCAGGCCCCAAGAATCATCACACACTGTCCCCCACTGGCCACTGTGGAGGATCTCCACCCTGCCATAGCAGGAGCCATGTCCTCCATTAACCAAGCGAACATTTACCTGAATTTCTGTGTTAAAAAGAAATACATACAAAAAATAAAGAAATGCAAGGACTCAATAATTATTTTGGGGTGATTCACTGTAAACTGCAGATCAACATTGCAATTCACTCAGTTTAACCAACGCTTTCCTTCATTTTTAAATGTTTAACAGAATGGAAGTATTTAATGTCAAAGAGCCTGTAGGTAACAAAATTTAGTGTCAACAAAACACTATTTTTTTTTACAGTAATTGTTTGTGGCTTAAAACCTCTCAGTTAAAATTTTATGGGGGACCAAAGGTCCAACAGGTGGACACCTAAGTGAATCCTACTTCTCAAATTTACCTTCACAGATGACACCGGCGTCTTCATTGTGGCCACAGTTGTGAGATCCTAACCCTGAGTGTTGACACTCAAATAGGTTGGATTCCCAGCCTGTGCAATGCACATCATCCATCCATATGCGCCCTGTGCCTGCACCAAATCGTGCATTAGTTGATGCAGAGATGACCCTACCACAGCCCAGCTGCCTACATACCACCTGAGCATCCTCCTGGCCCCAAGAATCATCACACACTGTCCCCCACTGGCCTCTGTGGAAGATCTCCACCCTGCCAGAGCAGGAGCCATGAATGCTATTTACCAGACGGACCGCCCCCTTTACTCCTGTGTTGTTGTCCCCTGCTGTTGAACCAGTGACATTAACCCGAAAAGCTGGAGAGGTCTGTGTTCTTGACGCAGGTGTGGAATAAGGAAATCCAGGGTCTGTTTGCAATTAAAAAAATACAAATAAGTAATAATAGTGCAGCTGTGCTGAACCAATTTCGTTAAAAACAGTTTAAGAACAATATTTTTTAAAATTAATTTGTTAGTGTGTATTAAAATTTAAAATGAATCAATTTGAAGACAACATTGAGATTACACATTTGAGTTTCAACAGTTTTGTGTGCTATGGTAAAACACAAGGACATTTGTTGTACTTTCACAGAGAAACCCTCACAACAATAACTCAAATAAAAAGTCTGTAGATAAAACGATTTAAAGATTATCTTAATCTTTTTAAATATTCAGCGGGAATTTGTTAATGAAAGAGGCAGTAATGGAACCACCAGTATAATATCAACTTAAATTAATAATGGCGTACATCCTCTTGGGTCTACGTTATTGTACAAAAATTTTTTTTTTCTTTTTCAATAATCAATGAGGCCTCTGAATTTCATAACTATAACTAAAATGCAGTGATTGGGTTGTTTCAATGAAATATTTCAGGAGAACCAACAGAATCATGCAAGTTTACAACCAAGTTTTATGAATATTCAAGTTTTCCTTCTCTCTTAACAATAACTTCATGTTTTGTGGTGAATTGTCTGCCACTAGAGGACATCATTATATAAACAGCCCTAATTTTTGCATTCAGAAAAAAGCTTAAGATCCTTTTTCTGACCACATTTGAGATGGATGTAGTCAGCTAAAAAGAAAAGAAAAAAAAGAGAGAGAAAGAAACGAAGAAAAAGCGAGAGAAAGGGAAACACAAGAAAGAAAAAAAAAGAAAAAAGGAGAGAAGAAAAAAAGAAAAAAAAGAAAGAGAAAAAAAACCCTGGGTCAACGACCCAGGCATCCTAACATAAATAAACATAAATTGATCATCCAAATGTCATGCAAAGCATAAACTGTAAAATCTATTTTGCTCCTCATAAAAATTATAATTGTACTTAAACATTTAAATGTTAAAAATGTAGGCTTTTTAAACACACACACATGCACCAAACCCCAAAGAGACAGAAAACACTAATAAACATACAGTGGCATGCAATACATAACCTTTGTGATTACACTTCCCCAAACAGCTTATCTCTGTAGTTAAGTATTTGATTGTTAAAACTTTAGGTAAAAAAGAGCTTCCTAACCTTTCTCAGTTGTAGTTGGTATTGTCATCTTATTTGCATTTTCTGAAAAAAAAGCATTGAAATTGTACTCACGTTTTCTGCGGAGTGACTTAACATTCATTCATTATGAAAGTGCATTGAAAAGCCAGGAAAACACAGGTCAATATAAAATAAATAATCTTACATTACATATACTGATCATCAAAATAGCATGCAAAGCATAAACTGTAAAACCTATTTCAGTCCTCATCAAAAATATAATTAGTTAAACATTTAAATGTTAAAACTGATTATAACAAAAAAAAAGAATTACCTTTTAAAACTTTCTTTGTTGTACTTTGTGCTGTTATCTTGTTTACAGTTGCTGAAAAAAATAATGAAAATTGTACTTTGGTTGTCTGCTGGTGACTTAAAATTTACTAAAATGCACTAAACCAAAGAAAATGTTGATCAGTACCAAATTAATATCCTTGCATTGCATATAATGATTATCAAAATAGCCTGGAAAACATAAACACCTCTTTCATTTTTCATCATAAAATTACAATTACAGCTAAACATTTCATTCTTAAAAGTGATTGCTTAAAAAATATAAATGAATGAGCTTCTAAACCTTTTTCAGTTGTACTTTGTGTTGTCATCTTGTTTACACTCTCTGGAAAAGAAGTGGAAAATGCATCGGATACCAAAGAAGCTACAGGTTAACATCAAGTAAATATAGTTAAATTACATAAATCGATTGTCAAAACTGCACTAATCATACACTTTAAACTCTCTTTCAGTCAAATTATATTTTAAAGTATCATTGTTAAAAGTCACTGTTTAAAAAAAAGACATTTCTAAACCTTTCTGAGTTGCACTTCGTGTCGTCATCATCTTCTTAGTCGATTTAACATAAACTGAAATGTAATGAAAACCAAAGTTAACACATATACAAATTAAGTAAATATTGCTGATTTACATAAATTGATGGTCAAAATCTTGTGTAAAGCAGAAATTATAAAACCTCTTTCAGTCTTCATAAAGAAAGTAAACATCAATTTAAACTGTTGATTGTTAAGTGATTTTTTTAAACAAATAGATACATGAGTTTCCAAACCTTTCTTTGTTGTACTTTGTGTTGTCATCTTTTTTGGAGTTGCTGAAAAAAAGAATAGAAACTCTAAATGGGTTATTGGTTATTTGACATAGATTAAAAATCATTAAATCATCATTTAATTTAAATCATTAAATATCAAATAAAACACAGGTAAACATCAAATAAATATTCTTAAATTGTGTAAATAATTATATTATTATAAAAATTTTAACTGTAGTTAAACATTTCAGTTTTAAAATTGATTGATAATGACACAAAGTAACTTCAAAAACTTCATTTAAAAAAAAGTCTTGTCTTGAGATTTAACATTTACCAAATTGAAATTAATTGAAATTAAGTGCTCTCTCTCTGTCTCACACACACACACACACACACACACACACACACACACACACACACACACACACACACACACACACACACCACAAGTGTCACTGATTTATATAACTGACCATTTTTGAATTTGTAGTTCTTACAAGTGTGGCATTTGGCAAAGCATTGTGCCTTTCTATTTGTACTATTGGTCTTTAAACCTTCCTCTATACCCCCTTTTTTACTGCCTTGTCATACTATCGAACATATAATGTAATAAGCGAAATAACATGAATAGAAATTTATAAATAAACAGATAAAAGAAACACCTGAACAAGAAGAGTCTATAGAGAACATGTTTAGCACAACAGTGCATTCAACTCATAATTCTAATTGCAAAAGCTGCCAGACAGGACTGGATTTAAAAAATAAAAAAAAATAAAACTAGTTTTAAACGTTTGATTCTTAAAACTGACTGTCTAAATGAATAAATAAATGTATTTCCAAACCTTTCTCTGTTACACTTTTTGTTGTCATCGTCATTACATTTGCTGGAAAAAGAATGGAAATTGTACTTTGGTTGTCTGCTGGTGATATAACATTTGTTAAAATTAAAACCAAAGAAAATGCAGATAAACATCAAATAAATATCCCTAAATAAACATAAATTGATCATCCAAATGTCATGCAAAGCATAAACTGTAAAATCTATTTCCCTCCTCATCAAAAATATAATTGTACTTAAACATTTAAATGTTAAAAATGTAGGCTTTTTAAACACACACACATGCACCAAACCCCAAAGAGATAGAAAACACTAATAAACATACAGTGGCATGCAATACATAACCTCCAATACTAGGGATGCACTGATACCGATACCGGTATCGGCCTCGATACCACATTTTCTAAAGTACTGGTAATCGTTAAAAGTCCCCCGATACTGAGGACCGATACCACAGTCTGAGACCTGTCTATGTTTGAGCGGCATGTAAGGGGTTAATCACAGGCGCCGAGTGCCCGCCCCCAGGCCCCGGCTGCAGCTCAGAGCGGGGAGAAAGCGAGGCGAGACTTATCAGCTGTGGGGAACTATTTCAAAGTGAACAAGACACGAAAACAAAGGCGGACTGCAAATGGTGCTCAGCGAAATTGTCCAGAGGAGGCTCTAAAGGTAGCGCATTTAACACAAGTAATTTATTCAAGCACCTTAAATCCCAACACAACAACGAGTACAAAGAGTTTACCCACGCTTATTTACCCATGCTTATTACCACAGAGGAGCATAGCTGATGCTTTAGCAGTGGGGCGGAAAATAGTTGGGCATTTTAAACATTCCGCCTTAGCCTACTCCCGCCTCGAGGACATTCAGGGACGGCTCAACCAGCCAATAAAGAGACTGCAGCAGGACGTACAGACGCGCTGGAACAGCACGTATTACATGCTCCAGTCCCTCATCGAGCAAAAGCAAGTGCACGAACTCCCTGACTATCTCCCCGCTCACAAATGGGCTCTTATGGAGACGACTGTTGCCATCCTCGCCCCCTTTGAGGAACTAACTAAAAAAGTGAGCAGCTACAATGCACTGGCCTCTGATGTCATCCCAGCTGTGACTGTGCTAGTGAGACTTCTAAACAGACGAACAAATTTAAAATTAAATAATTTTTTTTAATAATTATTTATTCTGTAATATGTTACATACAACATGCTTTTCATTTTAAATAAATGTTCTTAATTCCAAACTAGTCCCTTGTTTGTTTGTTTTTTGTTAAATTATAGGACTAAAGCTGTTACCTGCAAATTTAAATAATTTTTTTATTAAGTACTTGGTATCGGTATCGGCGAGTACTGAAATGCAAGTACTCGTACTCGTTTCCAAAAAAGTGGTATCGGTGCATCCCTATCCAACACCTTTGTGATTACACTTCCCCAAACAGCTTATCTCTGTAGTTAAGTATTTGATTATTAAAACTTTAGGTAAAAAAGAGCTTCCTAACCTTTCTCAGTTGTAGTTGGTATTGTCATCTTATTTGCATTTTCTGAAAAAAAAGCATTGAAATTGTACTCACGTTTTCTGCGGAGTGACTTAACATTCATTCATTATGAAAGTGCATTGAAAAGCCGGGAAAACACAGGTCAATATAAAATAAATAATCTTACATTACATATACTGATCATCAAAATAGCATGCAAAGCATAAACTGTAAAACCTATTTCAGTCCTCATCAAAAATATAATTAGTTAAACATTTAAATGTTAAAACTGATTATAACAAAAAAATTATAATTACCTTTTAAAACTTTCTTTGTTGTACTTTGTGCTGTTATCTTGTTTACAGTTGCTGAAAAAAATAATGAAAATTGTACTTTGGTTGTCTGCTGGTGACTTAAAATTTACTAAAATGCACTAAACCAAAGAAAATGTTGATCAGTACCAAATTAATATCCTTGCATTGCATATAATGATTATCAAAATAGCCTGGAAAACATAAACACCTCTTTCATTTTTCATCATAAAATTACAATTACAGCTAAACATTTCATTCTTAAAAGTGATTGCTTAAGAAATATAAATGAATGAGCTTCTAAACCTTTTTCAGTTGTACTTTGTGTTGTCATCTTGTTTACACTCTCTGGAAAAGAAGTGGAAGTTGTTCTTGAGTTTTCTGTGGACGACTTAATGTTGTTCACTACCCCCCCCCCCCCACCCCCCACACACACGCGCGCCAAAAGAAACCCCAAAGAGACAGGAAACACTAATAAACATGCAATAACCTCCAATACCTTTGTGATTACACTTCCCCAAACAGCTTATCTCTGTAGTTAAGTATTTGATTGTTAAAACTTTAGGTAAAAAAGAGCTTCCTAACCTTTCTCAGTTGTACTTTGTGTTGTCATCTTATTTGCATTTTCTGAAAAAAAAGCATTGAAATTGTACTCACGTTTTCTGCGGAGTGACTTAACATTCATTCATTATGAAAGTGCATTGAAAAGCCAGGAAAACACAGGTCAATATAAAATAAATAATCTTACATTACATATACTGATCATCAAAATAGCATGCAAAGCATAAACTGTAAAACCTATTTCAGTCCTCATCAAAAATAAAAATTGGTTACACATTTAAATGTTAAAACTGATTATAACAAAAAAATAATAATTACCTTTTAAAACTTTCTTTGTTGTACTTTGTGCTGTCATCTTGTCTACAGTTGCTGAAAAAAGAATTGAAATTGTACTTTGGTTGTCTGCAGGTGATTATTATTTATATATTATTATAAATTATATTATAATATATATATTATATATATGTTATTCATTTATTATGAAAATGCATTGAAAAGCCAGGAAAGCATATGTCCTTACATTACATATACCGATCATCAAAATGGCATGCAAAGTGTATACTGTAAAATCTGTTTCGGTCTTCATAGAAAAAAGAGCTTACAGCCAATGTTCCCTCAAACTTTATGTAACTGAACGAACACACAAACTCGCTGAGCGGTCCCTTGGGCCACAGGCAATTGTGGCTCAAGAGTTGGGAGTTCACCTTGTAATCGGAAGGTTGCCGGTTCGAGCCCGGCTTGGACAGTCTCGGTCGTTGTGTTCTTGGGCAAGACACTTCACCCGTTGCCTACTGGTGGTGGTCAGAGGGCCCGGTGGCGCCAGTGTCTGGCAGCCCCGCCTCTGTCAGTGCGCCCCAGGGTGGCTGTGGCTACAATGTAGCTGCCATCACCAGTGTGTGAATGGGTGGATGACTGCATGTGTAAAGTGCTCTGGTAAAAGCGCTATACATATACAGGCCATTTACCACTGTGTACCAGACGTGTGCACTGTGGTCACGCCAGCATCGAATCCATCCAAGTTACATGGTTTATTAAAATAATCAAATTACAGCATTTACATTTTGCCATGTTGCCATATCATTTTTTGATTGGTCGACATGGTACATTTTTCCACCAATAGGAAAGGGTGGGGGAGGTGGTTGGTTTTGTTTTTGTTCACAGGCTTTCGAGCGTTTTCCTTATAAAACGCCGTTTTTACCGTTTCTTCCCGCAGTAAATATAAACAACGACAGTATTCAGGAAGAAAACCAAACATTGCAGATATTTTTATTATAACTCTGGTTTTACGCGGCCGATCAACACAATTTAAAAACTGGTATAAAGTCCACACTTTTCCCGTCAGTTGTTCCGTCTGTCCTGCTCACATCTCCAGAGGTTGTACACGTTGTCATTAACGTGGCTTCACTCCACATCAGCCACGCCGCTTTGCTAGCTAAACACCGGTGTCGGCACATAAGGACGCTGTCATAGCCTGTCAACGACGTTGATTAGCTGCGTTTATACGAATGTGAATTGCATTATTGGCTGGATTATGGGATAAGGTGGCATCGTTCTGATCCCATACGGGAGCAGCCAGTCACCGACTAACACTGCAGACCAGAATTGTTAAAGTTTTAATTTTAATTACAATTCAGGTTAGACTTTTTTTGTGCACAACGCAGATTTTCAGTGCGCAGACACCGTGCAAGCAGTGCGCAATTGCGCTCGCGCGCAGCTTAGAGGGAACATTGATTACAGCTATATTTGTTAAAACTCTATATATGAGCTTCTTAACCTTTCTCATTTGTACTTTGAGTTGTTCTGTTGTTTACATCCTGTGAAAATAGAATGGACGATGTACTTGGGTTGTCTGTTGGTGACTGCACGTAATTTGCTAAAATGCATTGAGATTAAAAGAAAACACAGGTCAGCAACAAAAACAGCATCCTGAATCTTCCAAATTATTTTTAAAATGGGATGCACAGACTAACTTGTAGAATCGTCCACACACTCAGGAGGTTTTCATTCATCAAACAAGTGATACTAACTGTTTAATTCTACAGTTGTGCATCTGACTGTTACAACTAAAAGTTTATAAAAGCCTCAACAACTGCTTATAGGTATTCTTCAACATCTGATTGTTAAAAATGAAGGTAAACAAGCCTTTCTCGGTTGTAGTTTCCGTTGTAAGATGGCTATGTAAAGTACTGGTCTGCTCTGACTGCAAGGTTGCTGAGATACCTGAGGAAAACAGTAAATAACAGGCAGATCAACCTTAAAATTACAGTTCTTAAAGTTTAAAAAGTTGATTTTGTGTTTGTCCGTTCACACAAATGTACGTTTTGAATATTTTTTTTTCCTGTCCCTGTTATTGTCTATACTGGGAAATGGTAATCACCAGGTTGTTTGAATATCTTGAACAAAATAGTGTTACAGCTCAAATGTTTCATGTTGTCATTTAAATTTCAGCACTGTACCTCTAGCAGAACATTTTGAAAAGTAATAAGCGCTAAATGTGAAAAAACATGGGGGGGTTGAGCTGTTAATGAAATGCCAAATTATTCTTCCAAATATATAAGGTGAACAACACAAAAACACAAGTGTTGGACTTTGGTCTTTATAGAAAACAGTTAAGCCTCACCGCGACTGACAATTACAGTCAACGTCAAGACAAAACAAGCTCCCAGAGCTGCTGCGATGACTCTGGAATGGCTCCTTTTGGCAGATGAACGGTTCATTCGAGTGTGTTGACCTGTAGAGACAAAATGCATTATCTATTACCAAGTGAGATAATAGATAATTGTATCTATTATCTCACCACACTATTTATATTCCTATGAGTAGACACATCAAAGATGAACAGCAATCAGCTGTGGCAGCTCCTTGTGATTAAAGTAGCAGCCAAAAGTGACTTTTTTCATTTAATCAGTAAGAAGAGCAACATTTGGGTCCAAGTGGTTCCGTATCACACACACTTGATGGGCCCACATCCTCATTTTAGGTTTGACAGCGTTTTTAACAGATAAAAGGTAAATGGTTTACACATAAATTACGCTGCAGTTTGGGGAAAGCCTTGAAGGGGCCTGGCAGATACCCAATAATCCGACAGTAATCCGATTACTTTTTTCAAGTAACGAGTAAAGTAAGGGATTACTATTGCAAAAACGGTAATTCGATTACCGTTGCTTTTCCGTAAGCAAGCTGCGTTACTGCGTTACTAAAACCATGATTTTTTTGCGAGAATGTCTCATGACAGTGACGTAAGCGAGTGCGCCGTTCGTGACAACAGCTGTGTGCAGATCAACAATGGATCATATATCGAGTGCAGAGAGAGTATGAGCGTGCAGCGTTTAAAGCGTGGAAGTACTGACCTTACTTTGAGTTTGATTCCATAAAAAGTGACAAAAACATTAGTGTCCGTTGTGCGTGGGAAGAAAACTTCTTTTTACAGCAAAAAAACCCCTAAACTTCCAACAAGCACCGAGTAGCTACGACGTAATGGGAAACTCACAGAGAAACTCGCGGATTCTTCCACTGACCGCGGCACACCTGCACCAGGGTAAACCTCCGCCTGCCCCACTCCTGCTTTACAGGTGAAAATAGAGCAACAGGACCGCTGAGTCTTTGACTTTATTTATTTTCTGCTGTGTTTTACTTGCATCTATTTGAAAGACTGAGTGTAAACACAAAAAATATTTTATTTTATGAGCTGGAATGTGCAGAAAATAGGTTTAAATGTTAAACTAATTTCTTCAAGTCAGAGAATGTTGCATATAATTAATTTTTTTAAAAGATTAAAACTTTTAACTTTTAAAACAAGTTTTAAAAAGAGACTTTTCCAGTTGATTACATTTTGTATGATGGATTATGCAGAAAAAGTAGAATTGGGCTTAAAGATCTATCACTTTATCACCTCTTCAGGTTGTAAATCGGGTTTTTAAAAAGTAACTAAGTAATCAATTACTTTTGAAAATAAGTAATCAGTAAAGTAACAGGATTACTTTTTGGGGGATGTAATCAGTAATTAGTTACTGATTAGTTTTTTCAAGTAACTTGACCAACACTGCCAAAGAAGGCATCCCCTAGAAGCAGTAATAACTGTGGGGCACAAAGGTCAAAGACCTCTGCAGTAATCAGTGTTGGTCAAGTTACTTGAAAAAAGTAATCAGTATCTAATTACAAACAATTAAAAACGAGACATGAACATGATTCTGAGCAGGAGTACGAGTGTAAAACTGCGAACAGAATCAAGCAGTACCTGGAATCTGACCTGACATGGGGAGAGGGAAACAGACAAACCCACAATGAACAGAGGGAGACAGAGGACTTAAATACACAGCAGGGTAATGAGGGAAGTGGAAACACCTGGGGAGACACAGCTGACCCAAATGATCATGACACCACAAGGAAAAGTAAAACTAAGCACAATGAACATAGAAACAAGACTTTTAAAACATGGAGAGACATGAACTTGGACTCGCAAGCTTAACACAAGAGACAGGGAGAGCGAACAAGAGAAGGAGAAGATGTTTGTAGCTTATTTTAGGACATAGAAGTATAGTAGAGACACTGACACTGCCCTGGATGTAATATAGGCCTAAATGTGTCATAAACGTAGGCGTAGACTTGTAGGAGACCCTCCCCCACCTTGAGCTGTGAAAATAAGACAAAAAGAAGCTAAAGCTGAGTGGAAATTCCGAAGGAGATACCTGGGTGTGGGTGTCAGTACAGTGTTTGAAACTGGATAACTTTGGTCTGGAAGGGAAATGCACTTTTATGATCCACAAGAAGTTCCGTACGCAGAGGTACATACACATATATACACATGCACTTACACACAGGTACGTGCACACGTACTCGCACACACACAACATACAAACACAGTGTTTAGTTTTATGGCACATCGTATAGGGCTTAGAATGGGGGTCACGTCTATAAAACTGTGTGCAACAGCAAAGGAGTTGAGATCTGCTGATGAATTCCAGGGTCCTGTACATCTCCCTTCTAGAAGCTGTATCAATGAGTGTGGATAAATAAAAGTGTTGTGAATTGACTACTTAGTGCTGGTGTTGTCTCTGGAGGCCTGAGGAATCTAAGAACTGGGGTGAAACTGTTTAGAGGTAACAGTTTTGATGCCGAAACCCGGGACATTTTTGCTCTGAGATCGCGCAAACGAAGCGAACAGAGAGCCGGCTCACTCATCTGAAAAGGTAAGCACCACCTGTTTATTCGAAGTGTGCCTATTGGATGAATGCTAAATTATCTGTTTGCTAAGTTGAGCGTATCCCAGTGTAAATTCACTCAGTAGAATAAATAGGTGGTTAAAAGTTTGTCTTAGTCCGTTACAGCAGGAGACGTTTGTCAAGAATTTCAGGTTGATGTTTAGCCTACTGTAAGAAAACTGGGGTTAGAGGCCTTGTCACCGGCTAAAGGCCGCATGTGTGTTCTGGGCTTGGCTGCTCCACAGGCTCTTGGATGCGAGGGCGAGACCTGTGGGACGGGAGGACTAGGTTGGTAACCTTCAGACTGGAACCCTTAAAATAACTAAGTCGGGGTTAGAGTCCCCGTTACGGACTCAAGTCTGCATAAACGCAGGACTGGTTGCTTGGGCCAGTTAAATTCTGTGCTGGGTTGAACCGGAGTGTCTGCTGCAACTAGAGGGCCGTGAAGAGTGTGTGCAATTGCTGTTAGATTCGGCACCCCGACAGAGGTTCAGGAGTAAATTGAAGTAATAAAGGAATTGGAGTCTAAAGTGTGTTTGTGGTGTCGGAAAATCCCCGTTAGAGTCGGGGTCTCGAGAGAAGTTTGGGAGTAAGTGCAGATACTAAGAGATTTGAGTTTAAGATTGTGTTTTTGTGGTGTGTGTGGAAATTGTGACGGGAGGCCAACTAATTGTTGTAAATTGTGAGTTTATTGGGGGGTATAATTTGATTGTGTTTTGGGAAAAAGAGAAACCGCGGTTAGACGCCGTGCTGCAGTTTAAGTAATTTGTGCCGTGATCTGAAGATTGTGGGTCCATTGTTCTGGTGTGGTTGAGGTCTAAAAGAGCGGACCGCACCCACTCTGTGTGCTGATTTAGGGCATTGTCCTGAATCGGCAGAGGAGGAAGTGCCTCAAAGCGAGCTGTGAAGGAGACTGCCTAAGGGGGCGGACTCATAGGCGAGATGAAGGAGGAGCAACAAGGAGGCGCTAGGAGGGTACAGAGGAGAGCAACGGCGACATCTGGTGGTAAGTAGAGGGAATTCCAGGTCAGTTAAAAAATAATTGCTGAACAAGGGGAGATTATTAGAGGAGTGAGAAGTTCAACAGAGGAAGAAATTCAATGGAAGACAATTGAGAAGCAAAAAGAGAAACTAGGTGATGCATTGAGGACACCCAACAGGTAAGGATGGTAAAATACGGGAAATGTGGAAGGAAATAATCGGTGTGTGTGACCAAGTTGGAGTGAAGAGTGACACGCGATGCTCCCTGCATCTGCATTAGAAATGCCCCTAGTGGTTGCAGCAGGGGGTGAAAGAAGATACCATATGGGGTAGGGGATTTCCGAGCCATAGCTGGCCGGTGCATTACAGTTACTGCACTGGAAGAAATACTGGCAGCTTTCACTACCAGACCAGACTCCACACCCTTTTTTTCAAATGCAGGAGCAGATTGGGAATTCCATGCGTCAAAAATATCCGACCCCAGGTATTGTTTAGAAAGACTATGCTAGAGGGGGTACCAGAAAAGGCAAGAGAAAAAATCTTAGATTACCCTGACTTAGAAGGGGCAGATGCAAATCGCTGGGAGAGACACCTGGTGCATTATTTGGGGAAGCATTAATAAGAGAAAGATAAGAAGAAAGTGGACCTAAAGGAGCTTCAGGAACAATTTCTTAAGCTCAACTGGGGGGAAGCGAAACAGAAGGTAAGTGAGAGAAAGAAAGAGAACAAATCAACTGGCTCGCCTAAGGTAATGGTAGTTCAAGGCTGCCCACCGGTGCCCTGGGCTATGGAAGGGGTGCGCCTGGAGTGGGTCATGGGCCTAGAGGTGTCTGTTTGATGTGTTATCAGCCTGGGCACTGGTCGAGAGACTGTCCACAGCAGCCACAAATACAGCAGCATATGGGCCCGCCTCAGGGAGGAAGGGGTGGTCCATTCCATCAGGCTCCAAACCCACACATGATCCCTGGACGAAGATCCCAAATGCCGATCTGGGAGGTTGACTGGTACAGCTCGGACTGGCAGCAGTGACACACTCCACAGGGAGGCCGGGGAGAAGGGGGAAAGGCAGGTAATTCCTTTAAAGACTGAAATTGGAAAGCAAGCAGTGGCTCATCCATATGTCATTTCAGCGCAAGTGCCTGTGAACCTGATGGGGCGAGACCTGCTCATCAAACTGAGAGCTGTGATCATGTGTGGGCCTGATGGTTTAACAGTGACTTTGAGAGATGGCACACCGCTTCCTTGTGTGGCCACAGGCACGAGAGGACAGTGGCTGCTGTCTGAGGACATTGACCGCACAGCAGAAATCTACTGAGCCCATCTGACAACCTCTGATGGCATCTTGGCACACTTCCAGCTCTGGCGGCCCTGGATTATGGCCCTGGACAATATATGCTCCACCCATCGACCCATACCACGTGACGCTCTTTTATGACCGCGAAATTACTGAGTGGTATGAATACCTGTTCCATGAATTCCTGGAGGGGAAGGTATGGAAGGTCTCTACCAGGGATATTTATGTTGGACCGCAGGGGGTAGCAGCCCTGGTCCACTTGGCGGAAGAACAAGAAAGCTGGTTCCAAATGGGTCACGAGTCTGTGCCTCATGTGTCTCTAGTGGTTCATTCTGGACACCAAGCAAAGGACTTCAGTCCCATGATACGCGTAGCATCACGAGCAACTGATTGGCAACCTACACAGATTCCTGATGTCTCCTTCTCCCCAAGTACTAAAACCTATAGAATTTCAACATCTCACACAGATGATACTATGTTGGAACATCATCCCATTCCAGGACACATGGCAGGGAACTGACAGATCATCCAGAGGTCGTTAAAGGCCTCTCACAGTTTCCTGACACATTGTGGTCACAGGGGCCTAGTGATGTTGGCTTAACCACCTGCTCCCCTGTGACCTTTGAACTCAAATCTGACATTCCAATATGGCATCCGCAGTACCGACATTCACCACAGGTGGAGGAAGGCATTGCAGAGACTATTGCAGTCGGGTCCAACATCTTTAATGGCAGTGCAAAATAGAAATGCTTTGGACATGTTGCTGGGAGAAAAAGGGAGTGCTGTACTTTTATTCCTAATAACACAGCACCCGATGGCTCTGTGATCAGAGTTCTGGAAGGCCTGAAGACGCTGTCCACCACAATGCATGACCATTCAGGAGTTGACAACCCACTGGAAGCATGGATGACCTCTGTCTTTGGGCAAGGGAAAGGTTTTATTATGTCAATTATGATTTCTTTGTCTGTTTTCCCTGCTATATTAGCAACGTATGGGTGCTGTTGTGTGCCTTGTATCAGAGCTTTGTTCGTAAGACTCATCGACCGTGCTGATGAGTCTTACTCAGACACGGAGACCAGCCCCTAACACAAGGATTCCATATAGTGGAGTGGAGGAAGTCGTAAAATTCGGCAGGAATGGCGTAAGAAGAGATCAAAGGAAATTTCGGACAATATAAGACCTTAATGAGGGGAACCCTTGATCAGATAGCGACGTGGCGTGACTCTTAACTGAAGCTCTGACAGAGAGCAGTGACGCATGTCAGGATTTTAAGACTTGAGGTAATGGCTTGATGGCTCGTGAAAGCTTATGTGAGTTTGTCTTTGAGTAGAAATTGAGAGGGGGTGCCTAGCTGGTTAATTTACTTTGGGTAAGGTAGTGATAACTAATGTGCCGATTTCTGAAATGAACAGAGGGTGGGGAGTTTCTGAAGGGCTGGTTAAACTGAGAGACTGATCAGAGGAGAACTGCACTTTGCAGAATGAGGGATGGAAAACATTCAATTCAATTTTATTTATATAGTGCCAAATCACAACAAAAGTTGCCTCAAGGCGCTTTATACATTAAAACTGGCATCCCATGACTAGCAGAGATAAACAGCAATGGAGGACCAGCAGAGCATGGAACTAGCAAATGATTTCCAGTTATTAAATGGTGTTAGGAGGCAGTTGCACAGAACTGAGCTTGCTAGCTGGCGCTGATGGGTGGGTGGAGCTACAAGGTATGCAGTAACTTTTGCTGTTGGAGCTGCAATTTTTGCTTTTGCAAGTAAGAAGACTTTGGATTGACATTTAGATTTGTGTGGTTAAGAACCCTTGAAAGTTAGAATGCTGGTGAATGGAAGCAGTTGTAGCTGGTCCAGTCTGAATCCTTAATGGAAGGATATTCAGGAGACTTTACAGAAGCATGGGTACGTTGTGGCTTCTGGGTCCGGCGCTGGTGTCCGTTGGCTTTTCCGCTAACTCTCCCGGTCTGTGGCCTTGTTTCAAAGCAACTGCTATGAGCTTTGCTGGTGGGTGATCTTGCTGAATTGCATGGATGTGGTTACTTCATAACTGGATTTAGCAGAGAGACGACTGGTTGGATAAACATAGCAGACCAGATTGTCGGCCAGTGAGAAAGCTGCTAGTAAGTTCATATGGTATTCAGTTTCTTGTGTAGCTCGTTGTCTGATGTGCTGACAGAAAAGAAGTGGTGGTGTGCGATACTGCATATTTTGGTGTCAAACCGATACCGATACTTTTAAATAAAAAAGGTTGACACTCAATGAATTGCTAATATTTAATTTTATTATTAAATAGTGTTATTAAAGAGTTAAAACCCAGGACAAAGTTGTTGTTGGTGGTGATGTGTACAGCTGGCAGCGGGAGGGCTGCAGCCGTTGAATGTAATGTTACAGCAACCGTGTGATTTTTGTAAGAGTAAATGATGCTGCGAAGCATGAAAATGCCATTGGGTCTGTCGTGATGGTTTCGTTTAGTATTTCTTTCTAAAAATAAAAGTGCACCAAAACCAGTAAAACAATTAAAATGAGTACTGTTGAGAAACTATAATACAAAAATTACAATTAAAATTCTCAACAACAAAAACAACAGGTGAAAATATAATTATCATGTAAACAACTGAACAACCCCCATCTCTGGCGCTGTCCCAGGAGCGGCGAGTCCGGCGACTTGGCTGTTTCGTCTTTGCCGAAAGCACAGCATTGGAAACAAGAGCAGAACTTAAAGTAAAGAATCGATCTCACTAGGCCAGTATCGATCTGATACCAATACTGACTTAGTATCGATACAATCGATATTTGGATTGATTGTCCCACCACTAATGAGAAGGTGATTGCAAGAAAATGGAAGGATGGGTAAAATTATGTTACTCTTGTAAAATAAGCTGTGTTAAAGACTTTCTCCAAAGGTGTTCACACGAGAACGGACGAGAGCAAACTGTGTTCACATGAAAACGAGAAGGAACAGCTCTAGAATTGGGGGATCATAGATAAGAACCAGAAGGAGCGTGTTTGGAGGTGTGGTCTCACTCCTGAAATTCAGATACTTTATCTCTAAATAAGGTTTCAAAGGAGACTTCATAATCATATTAACATAAAAAATTTCAAAAGCATCTTAAGCTAATTAAGCTATTTTAGGTGTTGAATGTGAAAGTCAGCATTCATTGCTGCACCACAAAATTTTCAATGCTTACCATTTTCCTGTAACCCAGGACTGATGGAGTAGTCTTCATGTTCTTGAATCTCCACTTGGCTTTTCTCTTCACCATCCACTCGGTCTCCTTTGCTATATCTCACATGTGTTGCAACTTGAGTACCTGTGGACATTTTGGGAGAACTAAAAGCCTCAACCATCTGCTTCCGCCTCTGTCACGCAGCTGTTTCAAGAGATGAGCATGAAGGAAGTAGCAGCTAACCACAAACACAAACACACCCGCAAAACATATGCACTACTATTATGTATTTACAGACGCTCACTCTCTGTCAGTTAAATATTGTAAGGATTATAGAATGTAATAAATTATTTATTTCTTATTTGGAAAGGCCTTGCCATTTTTCCTGACTTTAAGGCTTTGTGTACCACAGTCTCACAGATGTGATGATATGGTCTGTGATGTGCTGCAGCATGAGCATGTTTGCAGACTTCAGACTGGTCACTGAAAATGTCAGACTTGCTGTTGTTTTATAGATAAAAAGACACGGCTGCTGTTTTTATATTTGAGTCAAATGATGATTAGTGTCATGAATATCAATAATAAATAAAGAAAAATTGCTAAATGGTGTTTAAAAATGCTGTAGTTTATTCTCTTTTGCTGTTGTGTGATCTGAAACTTGCAGATACGTAACACAACAGACTAATGTGGCCTTATGAGCTACAAATAAACTTAATAACGTTTAATGCTTTTAATGTTACTGTCTCACATCTGATCAGAGACTTTGTGGCTTGAATGCGTCAAAGAGCTGATCACAGAAACCACTTCCTTCTTCATGAGGCACACAGCAACTAATTTCCTACTCAGCATTTGAAACTGAGTCGTTACAGACAGCAGGAATTGTGCAGTCAGCGGGTGTAGTTAGAAGTCTTTTGTTAAGTTCTATTAAAGAAAAACATTTATTCACATTACTGCTTCCACTTTTGGTGGTAACCTGGTGTGAGCTAACTCCCCAGAGAGATGTCATAACGTTAATAAGATTGATTCCTGTTGGCAGAGTCTAATTCAGATTTTAGGTGTGCTGTGAATCAGATGACACAGGCTATTATGACATCAATAATGCACATCAGGTTGACTGCAATTCTTTGTATGGGAACGGCATACCATGCCCCCGCCACACACTGATGTACACTGGTAGTGTCAGACTCCACAACCACCACTAGAGGGTGCCCTGGAGGAGTTAAGTTGGTAGGGTGAGCCACTTGGTTGCACTGCATACCTTAATGCTGGAGCTGGCTGATGCTGAAGTTGGGATCTGGAGCCGATGATTGACATGAAGTAATGAAGGGCCTTCTGGAGAGTGCATCTGGATTTTGGTGGCTTTTCCAGGTAGGTATATTACTTGGAAATCACAGTTCTACAGTGTGAGATTATTATATTATCTTATGCCACGTTATGCCCTAATTAAAGATTGTGAAATTATTATGTAGCTTTAGTTTGCATTATTCTCCTGACTTGAAGGAAAACGACTACATTTGTTAAACTGATTTGTATTACATTAGACTGCTGATTTATGGTGAATGAATGATATTGTTTATGATGCATGATACTGCTGAGTTATAAGAAATACTATTTTCAGAGAATCATGGCCTTATTTGTCTGATTAGAAGAGAACAGAGCATACCGTAGAGGTTTTCTGCCCCATCTCATCAGGAGGAGATAAAACAGGAAGCCAAGGCCGTCACGTAGGCGCCGTAAGAGAGAAAGAATGTGAATGCTTAGTTTGGAGGGGGCTGAAGCTATAGGAATGTGAGAAACGCTCAGGCACTTCGAGATCTGGTGGACACCCTCCTGTCCACATCTCCCCTCCGGATGGTTAATGCTCAAAAGTGTTGCATGGAATAATGAGAATTGTATGGAATAAAGAGATTGTTGATTGAGCATTTATACACCGAGTGTTGTTCTTCCTTCAGCCCAAAGACCAAAGAGCTGAGATTTAACAACAGTCCAAAAAAATCACATCCCACTCAAAAAGTCCCTTCTGGATACAAAATACAGCTCCTTTGTGGGTTCTGGCAGTCTACTGCAAAATATCAATGTTAAGTATATTATACTTAACATGTGGTCTACTTGCTTGGCAGTAGACAACATCTCTTACCAAGCATCCATTCCTTGTATGCATGGTGGGGTAAGCCTCTTTAATGGTTTGCCTATAATCCACGCACAATTTAGGACTCTCTTCTTTTTTCATCATCACAATTGCCTGCATGGCTTGGTACAGAAGCAGGGGGAAGGAATATTAAGCTCAGGAGTAGGGATGGGTATCGAAACCTGGTTCTTGTTGAGAACCGGTTCCCACTGTTTCAATTCCTTGGAATTGTTTGGCATTTTTGCAAACGATTCCCTTATCGAGTCCAGTCGCCCCGAATGACGTCACCACGTTGCGGAGCATCATTTACCTGGCAGGAAACATGGCGGCTCAAATGCTCAAAACTTTGGTTATACTTTACGAGAACAGATGACAACAGGGCAACTTGCAATACTTGCAAAGTAGAGATTTCATTTAAGGGAGGAAACACTACGAATATCAAAAGCATTTGCTCACAAAACACACGATGACCTTAAATGAATGTCGTGTTTTTAATTCCGCTCCGGACTCGTGAATCTCAACCCAGCAGCAGCGGTAACGTTTGCACGTCCTCTCCCGTTAATGCGGCAGGTAAATAATCAACAACAGTGCATATTATGTTAGCGCGGTCTGCCTTATTACAAACCTGCCATTACTGTGCGTTTAGTGACCATGATGAGAGAGACAGACAGAGTCTGGCTCAGATGCTGGCAGCTCTCGCTGCAGTCTACCGGCAGCGTCTCCTTTCAGACCAGGATAGACGAATGTCACCGAGCAGTGACTCAGTTTGTGGTCAAAGGCTTGCACCCATTTGCCACAGCAGATGATTTTCGGTAAGTGAATGTGTTTAATTGTAGGCAGGGACATTGCTGGATATTCTTGTGTAATTGTTACAGAATAATTTATGTTATACTTTGTTATTGCTACAGAAGAATATTTATTTTATTATTTTACATTTATAATTTTTTTTCCTGGGGACCCTGTGACACCCCATTGAAGAGCCGTAGGCTGTGGATCTCTTAAGATCTCACTGCTGGGTTTGTAAGGCCATGTTACTCCTAAATTTCTACCTTGTTCAAAGAGAAGATAAAAAACAAAGTTTTAAGCTAATCAACTTTAGTGTTCTCCTTTTAAAAAAAAAAAAAAAGGATTGATAAAGAATCGAATCGTTAAACAGAATCGAAAATGGAATTGGAATCGTGAAAATCTTATCAATACCCATCCCTGCTCAGGAGCTACTGGAATGCTGGTGGATGAGGCTTTATTCCTGTCAAGACTTTGGCTTGGGCACTATCTGAAGTGCCCCAGCCAAAACACCTCACCTTAAGGAGACTAGTGGAGCCCCTGGGCTGAAAACTCAGATAGGGATGCTTGAGAGTTTCTGAGGCTGCACAACTCTGTGGGCCACCAGAACTTTGTCCTTCTTCACAAAGATCTTAGTGGAGCTCAGCAGCGCAGAACCAGAGTTTTGTGTAACTTTTCACCCAAGCGGTCAGCTCTTTGTGCACCTCTGTGACGCGGACTTCACCAATCATTTTGCTAGCAATTGCCATCATCTTCCAGTAACCACTCAAAACCAGTGAGGGAATATTCATTGTCAGATGTTCATACAGCAGTACTGACATTCTCACTGACTTGATCCTACATTGTCGCAATGATTGCCATATGTCCAAAATTGCAGAAAAGTGAGCATCATGTAAATGGCCTGTATTTGTATAGTGCTTTACTTAGTCCCTAAGGACCCAAAGTGCTTTACACTACAATCAGTCAACCATCCATTCACACACATACTGGTGATGGCAGCTACATTGTAGCCACAGCTGCCCCGGAGCGCACTGACAGAGGCGAGGCTGCCGGACACTGGCGCCACCGGGCTCTCTGACCACCACCAGTAGGCAAACATGGGGTTAGTATCTTGCCCACGGATATTTGATATGCAGCCAGGAGGCAGCCTGGGATCAAACCACCGACCTTCCGGTGAGTAGGTGACCCGCTCTACTACCTGAGCTACCCCATGTGGTTAACATGTCCACAAATCCTCACTACTACATTATACAGGGACAACAACTGTGCTGTAGACTTTACCCTAACCCAAGGTTGTATAGTTTTGTTCTCCCATATCCACATCCACATCGAATAAAGATATGATACAGAGTGCAGACCTGCTTCTCACTCTCTGTGGTGCTGAAAATTTGAAAGATTTTAAACAATAACTATAGCTCCAGCTTCTTAAATGTCAAAATGCTCCTTTTCCTTTCACATGTATCTTTTAACATTTCACACAAACATTAAATCAAACTGTCACCACAGGGGGGCAGCATAGAGCCAGAGAGTGTTAGTGTAGCTGTTCAGCCCTATAGTAAGAAACAAGAAGACTGATGAAGGAAAAGCTTCTTCCACTGGTGTAACACACAGGTTTGTATGAAGTGATTGTTGCTGTTTGTTGTAAAAGAACAACACACTTGTGGTCTGACCTAACTCTGTAGTGCAACAACAACTATACAAATGTGAGCTCAGTGCAGACTAGATGCTGGCTCACTGCAGCCTCTTGTGGAATAAAGTGGTATTACATGAGAGTACAGGCTGGTTAGAAAATGCAAACGACAACATAAGAAGAAAGAACGGACAAGGACCCTTTTCTGAAGCAGCCCATACTACTTTGTTAAGGGAATTTTTTTTCAAAGAGAAGAGCTGGTGCCTCTTGCCCATAAAAGACCTGGAAGATCATCTGAGGAAAACTTACTCGGAGGAGTAACTTGGAAGAAGAACGCTGCAGCCACAGACGAGCCCCTCTTCATCACTGTGGTCAGCCACACCTCACCTGTCTCCCTCTTGGCACTGTGGACTGAAGAAGATGAGCCTGCCTCTGTATCCTCCTCTACCTATTCAAGGCTTCTAATATTAGATCAGAATATATATCATTCTTAAACATTTTCTTCTTGCTTTAGAAATGAGACATTTGTGGATTGCTAGTACACAATCATCTAGAAAACAAAAGGAAAAACATTAAAATTCAGAGTACAAAAATAGATCCATATTTAGAAATGATCCATCAGAATGAAGTCAGGAAATAAAGCACACAGCAGATCAAAAACATGAATAACAGGAGTCCTTTAATACATTTAGCTCTGACAATGTCAGGTTAAAGTTGGACAACTAAAATACATTGAGAGAAAGAACCTGGTTACATTCAGCTACATAAACTCTGTTTCCTGGAGTCAACAATTCAACATCCCATTTAGCCCCAACTTCTCTATCCTTACTTTACAAATGCAGCATAAAGAGAATTGATAAGTTATTCGCACATTTGAAAATTGTTAAATCTGCTTTTCTTCTTCATTTCAATTTCCTGTCAAAATTCCCCATTTGTAGCTAAAAGTAAGAAGCAGCTACTTTCAGCTGTTTCAGAGAAACTGAAGAAGACATTTACTGAAGTTTTAGGACCAACAGGCTGATGAATAAACCAAGTAAAGCAAAGTAAAGACAAGCTGCACTTTGACTTTTATTAGAACAATTTGCTGGAACTACAGAGTAATGAAGTACTTCAAGGTTTTGTGTGGATGACTTCCAACCTTACTGTACAGCACAGAGCACAGAGGGACAATATATGTAATCAATATATGATGCAGAATGAACAAGTAAAGACTGTAAGCTGAGTCTGAGGCTCATGCAGGACATTTCATAGTGAGGTGTCTTTGGTTGGATTATTCAAACATTTACATCAAAGCACCAAACTCATTTCTCACAGATGAAGGTCTTCGAGCTGTAACCAACATAATGTTCAACTGCCTGTTTCAAGTTCCCTTTATCATCACAGCAGACTCCATAGGAATCATAACTCGTACTCTGCTGTGCTGGTGCCCACAACCTGTCAGAGAAATAAAATATGATATTAAGCTGGAGTAAACTTTTTTCAATCCTGATTTCTTCAAACTGACTTGTTGTAACTGAACGTCATCACAGACTGCAGATGAAGAGAGTTCAAGCACAGCTGTTCATTCAAAGGAGGATTTCTGCTTTTCTTTACATTCAGTTTGTGGGGCTGTTGGAAAATAGCTCAGCTCATGTATTGCTGATCTATCTTCAAAAACATCAGTGTTTCACTTCTAAATAATAACTCTGGAATAGAAACAAACTAATGTCTCACGTTTGTGTCAGCGCTGATCCGTCCACCCATTCCCATTCATATCCTCCTGATGTCTGTTTGCCTGTCAGACCAGTCCAGGACTCTCCTCTCATGTTCAGTTCATTGATAAATATCTATTTGGGAAGAGACACAAATATTTGCTCCAGTCATAATTCAGCACTTCTGTTGTAGTGACATCATCTTGTGAATATGTCAGAAGGAAGAATAAATGTGATGAAATTTTTCAGTTCTTCCATTGTGCAGAAATCAAAAATACCCAAAGAATTTCCCCACTCACACGCTTTTGCTCGCCCAATCTGGAACTTTTGATCATTAAATGTCGCCCTTTCTATCTCCCTCGGGAATTCCCTGTGGTCATTGCCTGCGCGTTTTATATTCCTCATCACGCAGACACGGACTCTCACACAACAACAAGCACTTCACCAGGATGCTGTGTACATCAACTCACATCAACTGCCCTACCAGGGACAGTAGGACATTAGATCACTGCTACACTCCGTTCAAGGACTGCTACAAAGCTCAGCCTCTGCTGGCATTTGGAAAATCAGACCATGCCCCCATCTTCCTTATGCCTTTTTACAAACAAAGGCTAAAGCAGCAAGCACCAATCAGGGGGGAGTTCGCACACTGGACAGACCACTCAGTGGCCATGCTGCAGGACGCTCCGGATGACGCTCTGGATGACGCAGACTGGGACGTTTCATCAACATGTTTACAGAAGCGGTTTTGGGATCTATCATTCGAACATTTCCCAACCAGAAGCCGTGGGTGGATAAAAACATCTGCGATCACGCACCGCTGCCTACAAAGACAGGCTCGTCGCTGGTAATATGGACCAATACAAGCTGTGTCTTAAAACATGAGCAGCGCGATCAGAAAGGCAGAGCAGAGCTACAGGAAACTAGAGTCACAGCTACACCAGAGACTGCAGACAATAATGGACTATAAACAACCAGCTTCTTCAATGATGACTTGTTGATGTCTCTTAATATGTTTCTTATTAATTATATTGCTTTTTTAAGATATTCTATATGTAATTTAAACTGTTTTCTCTTTGTTTTCTATTTGTAGCACTTTGGCCAACATTGTTGGATGTAAAGCGCTGCTATAAATAAAGATGCTATGCTATGATGAATGCCGATGTTTCACTGGCTGTTGAGCTGAACACATTTTATGCACGCTTCGACGCTGCAGCAATTAAAACAACAAATTGCGTGCGCACAGAGTGCGCCAGTGAAGATAAGGCTTTCATCATCACAGAGCATGCCGTGAGGAAAGCTATCAGGAGAGTGAACACCAGGAAGGCTGCAGGTTCAGATGCAGTCCCTGGTCGGGTCCTGAGAGCCTGAGTTGACCTGCTAGCACTGGTGTTCATGTTCATTTTCAACCTCTCCCTGGCCCAAGCAATGGTTCCCACGAGCTTCAAAGAGTCCATCATTGTCACTGTCCCAAAGAAACAACAGTCCACTTGCCACAATGGTTACCGCCCAGTAGCACTGACTTCACTTCACTTGTGATGAAGTCTTTTGAAAGACTGATGAGAGATCACATCACTTCTTCACTTCCTGCCACCATCGACCCACTTCAGTTTGCATACCGGACTAATTGTTCCACAGATGATGCCATATCTCACCTGCTCCACACATCCCTGAGTCACCTGGACACTGGCAGAGGGAATTATGTTAGGATGCTGTTCATGGACTACAGTTCAGCATTCAACACAATAATTCCCTCTAAGCTTTTCATCAAGTTGAAAAGTTGATCACTTGGGACCCGTCATCGTCCTGTCACATTAACACTCTGGTGTTAATGCCAGCATCTCTTTTTCCCCAGAAGACTTAGAGACTTCCATCTGCCACTGAAGGTGCTCAAGAACTTTTACTCCTGCACCATCGAGAGCGTCCTGACGTCAAACATCTGCACCTGGTTTGGGAACAGCACCAAGCAGGACAGGCAGATCTGCAAAGAGTGGTGCGCTCGGCCGAACGCATCATTCAATCAGAGCTCCCTGACCTGCTGTCCATCTACACCAAGCGGTGGAAGTCCAAAGCTAGGAAGATTATGATGGACCTCTCCCATCCCAACAATGGACTCTTTGAGTTGAGGTCTAAGAAGCACTTCTGCTCCCGTAAGGCCAAAACAGAGAGAATGAAGAAGAGCTTCTTCTCCCAGGCTATTCGGGCCCTGAACCAGGTGTAGGACTGGACTCTCTCACACACAATACATCACCACAGCACTCTGTTTATTTGCACACTTCTTATAATTTATTTTTTATTTTTATTCATAATTTCTTTCGTAAATCATTATTTGCACATTCTTTTACTGTGAATTCCTAACTTAAAATCTTTAAATTTTGTAGTAATCTGTAAATCTGACTGTCAATTCTTGTTGTCATCTAATGGTCGGGCATTGCACAGCAATAAGCATTTCACCACATGCCGTACTGTGTATGGTTGTGTGTGTGACAAATTAAATTTGAATTTGAAGCTCAGTTACTGTTGCAGTGGGATCACTGTTAATATTATATTTTATTTGGTTTTATTAAATAAGAAACTTAGCCAGGATTATGAGGATTGCTTTTATTTTGGAACATTTCTGTGTAATTTAAATTTTTGCTTCAAAATTGTGTAAAAACTTTGCATTTGAATGTGAATGTCTCTAACATAAAAGGAGAACCAAAGAAATCCATCAGAGTGGAGACAGGAAGCAGGTCACAGACTGACAGCAGGTCAAAGACACAAGTAACAGATCACTGTCAGCTCCATCAAAGATCACACAGACATGAACAAACACACCCACCTGTTCCTCTTTGCTGTTTATCATCACCAGATCAGCTCCTTTATCCTGACAGGCTCTCCTGCTCTCTTGCCAGTGCTTTGCCTCAGTGGATTTAAAGTAACAGCTGCTTCCAAATCTCATCCATCGATCAGGACACTTCTCTTAAAGTCAAACACGTTTTAAAGGCGGTATTTATTTACTGCTCATAGTTTTTGTTGTGTAATAAAGATTTTTAGTTTTTAACAGCTTGTTACCTTTGATCTTCTCCTTTAGCAACTTGATTTCTTGCTGTAGTTGAATTATTTTTGCTGCATGTTGAGAACAAACATAATTATAATAAAATAAAAATAAAACAGGAATAAAAAAGGAAAAATGACTGCAAAGTTAGTTCATGAATATTTATTTATATTTGTTTTGAAATATTTCTTACTTGAACAATTAGCCTGGAGATGCTCTTTTTCCAAAGTGACTAAAATATCTGGTTACAAACAAAACAGGAAACTGATTTAAAGTTTAAAGCATTTTATCAATGAAGTTTTTATTATTCCCATCACATGAATGGAACTAACACATGCTGAGCTGCATGCTGCTCAATGCACCAAGTGAACTAACTAGCCGGCACAATGATACACAGCAAATTCAAAAGTGTTACATTTTTTGGTGTTAATAGTCTCCTTGCAAAAGTAGAGTTAATTTTACTCTAAGCAGAGTCACATTCTTTTAATGTAACTCTGAGGTGTAAAATGATAGTAGTTAAAATCGAGTGTTAAAAATGAGTGTTTCTAGGTCAAATCTGGAGGTGTTACAATGGAAACATTAACTCTTGACCTCTTAACTCTGAACTCCTACAGGGGCTATGACACCAACAGAGTAAATTCACAGACTCCGCCCCCAGCACGGCTCCAATCGAAGCTGAAGTGAAGCCGTTTCAGAACATTTTGCTCTACATATTTGAGTTGTTTGCCATGCTTGGTAAGTCATTTTTTCAAAGATTGTTTCAATTGTTATTAGCTTTTACTTCTGTGGCTCTTTGGAGTTGAGACAAAGCTGTGTGAAAGGCATTAGCCATGTTGCTCGCTGATAGCATAATATTCTGTTTTAGCTAGCTGAAAGGTATTGTTTGCGGGCAAATACCACAGCCTTGAAAAAAAGCTTGCATGTGAATTTTCAGTCAAACTTTTGGTCAAATACACCTAAAACAATGTCTAGAATGTGAAATGTTGGTATAATGGTGCTACTTGAAGCCTGAAAACGATCGCCCATAAAAAAAAAAAAAAAAAAACGAGCAAACAGCAGTAGCAGACGTCCTGACTGGATTCTACGTTAGCATAGATCCCTCCAGAGTTTTGTGCACACGGTTTAGGTAAAAATGAAAAAGGTTGAGGTTTTACATTTAGTTCAGTATTACCTGTTACCTGTGTCTTTGTCTTTTGGGAAAATACTTTACACAAGTAATGGCTCAAAGAGGATTCCTTTTTACTGTGCTGCAATTGTTTACTGGATTATTTGTGCCATTAATTAGTGTCAACTAATTTTTATTCGATCTCCGCACAGGATATGCTTGTGAAGATGGAATATGGGGGAGAGCAGAAGTGCGTTGAAGTTCCACAAAGGGATGAATGAAGGACATGCAAATTGTATTGAAGAAATAAGTGATGAGAATGCTGTTATTTGCATTTACCATGTCAGACCTTTTGATAAACAAAATTCTAATGAAAGTGAGAACATGTATACTGTTACATCTTTCAGAAAATGTTTTGAAATTGTGGTGCACAGTTCAGAATAAATGTTTTTCAAAAACCATTGCATCTTTTTAGTAAATGTTTATTTCCAAAAGAAATTTCTAGAAGTTCAGAACAGTAAAATTCCCGCTTTTTAGAATGAATTAGAAGATAACTCTTACGTAGTTAAACTAAAATACTCTGAGAGTTAATATATAAACT